AGGTTCCAAATCATAATCGCCTCGAAATGGTCACAGGCTCAATATCAACATGGAAACAGATAATACAAGAAAACATAGGCATGATCAATAAATGTTAAGTTTCGTACTCCTGGTCTATGTAAGTGGCATACTACGGTGTACACTTGTGTGAGTATACTACTACAACCCAAGTGAACAAGTAATATCAAAGACATCGAATAACTCATCGAAACAACAAAGTAAGTCACGTAAGGTGTATGACAAACAGAAGGAAAAGCATACAATTACACGAAAGTCACTGACACAATGTCTCCAACCATCACACATCATCCCTGACACTGCCACCCTTATCTCTCCGATAGCCACCCGTATCACTCTGCCCTAAGATTATCATTAGCCAACTTTATCTCTCCTATAGCCACTTGTATCACTCCATATAATAGACACCCTTATATCTCCTATAGTCACCCATATCACTCTGTATAATAGCCACCCATATCGCTCCACCCGGACAATAACACAATAGCCACATGTATCACTCCATACATTCAACAACAGTGAGAAGCCACACTTATGCCCCGCATAACAACAATGGTGAAATGCCACCCTTATACTCCGCATAACAACAACGGTGAAATGTCACCCTTATACTCCGCATAACAACAACCAAACCACACAACAAATCACATGTGATATCATCACAACAACACAACATATCAACTCATATCATAAGTGCACGTATGCCATAACCTTTCCAAAGATTAAACAATATCAATATTTTCACAACAAATAGCCCACGGCTCAACACAACGTCTATAGAATCTTAATTACAACAAAACGAACAGAAAAGTAACTCAACAAGGAACAACACCCCTTTTTAACCTCAACTTCTATTAGAATAGATTAATGACTCTCGATAACTTTATTTACAATTAATTATTTAAGGATAACCTCGATAGCGATAGTACTTCCATGAAATGGCAAAACTTCGGACTCTAGTGTATGAATTTGGCTAACAATAAAAAATATGACACAAACTAGTACTACGTCTAAATGCATGAGAGCAACCCAGAAACAAAGGATATCATGTGACGACAATTTCAACTGAGAGTAGCTTCACAATAAAATAAATCGCATAATGACAAAAAGTGATAACAATTCCTAATAAGCATATAAGAGCAAACTCGACAAGTAAAGACTGTGACATGTAACGACAACTTCGAATAAGACATGTGATAGTAGACATGATGAATAAAGGATATAACATATGCTAACAATTCCAAATAAGTACATGAAAGAAACCTAAGAGTCTAAGCCAGTCGATTTTCCACATATATGCCCGAGTTCGTACTTGTCACCTCGCATACACGGCTTTCACATGACAAAAATAGCACAAACGTCTCAAATCTATCCAAAATAACTTAATATTATAAATAAAAACTATAGGAAACAAATCCAGATAATAAAGCTTCAATCTTTAATAAAAACTAAAACGTCAACCCCAAGCCCGCACCTCGGAACCAGATAAAATTCATAAAATACGAACACCCATTCTTATATGAGTCTAACCATACCAAATTTATCAAATTTCAACATCAATTCGTCCTTAAAATCGTCATTATACATTTTTGAAAGTTTTCACAAAATTTCCATTTTCCCCCAACTCAAACCACTAATTTAATAATAAAAACAAAGATAAAGTCATGAAATAAAATCAAATCCGGGTAAAGAACACTTACCCCAATCCAACACATGAAGAACTCCTCAAATATTGCTCAAATCTGAGGTCTACAACTCAAGATATGATAAACATGGCCAAATCCTCGAAATAGAGTTCTTATATTACTGCCCAGGTATTCCTCTTACGCGAACGCGACACGCTGACCGCGAACGCGATGATTTACCTCATTATGCCTATGTGAACGCATCCTTAACCATGCGAACGCAAAGGCTAAAATGACTGGTACCCAGCCGGTCTCACCCATTATGCAAACGCGGTTCCTCTTTCGCGACCGCATAGAGCTAAATTCCCAAGTCCCATGAACGTGTCCACATATTCGCGAACGTGAAGAACAAATATTTCCTGCCTCCCAATTACCTTATGTGAACGCATTAATCTACTCACGATCGCGATTAAGAAGGCACCAGATATCAGATCAGCAATCCATAATAGGAGGAAATGGCCTGTAGCCCATCCGAAACACACCTGAGGCCCCTGGGACCCCCCCTCCCCCCCCCAAACATACCAACAAGCTTCATAACATAACACCGACCTACTCGAGGACTCAATCACATCAAATAATATCAAAACTATGAATCACACATCAAATCGAACCTAATGAACTTATGAAGTTTCAACTTCTACAACTCACGTCGAATCATATCAAATCAACTCGTAATGACGTCAAATTTTGCATGTATGCTCCAAATCATACAACGGAGATATACCAACCTCCGGAATCCGGACCCTATATCACCAAAGTCAACTCTCGATCAAACCTCTTGACCTTCCAAGCCTTCAACTTTCCAAATTTTGCCGAAATGCATCAAATTAACCTACGGACCTCTAAATCCAAATTCGGACATACGTCCGAGTCCAAAATCATCATAAAAATCTATTGGAATCATCAAAATACCATTATGGAGTCATCTACACAAAAGTCAAACTCCGGTCAACTTTTACCACTTAAGCTTCTAAAGCAAGAATCCTTCTTTCAAATCAATCCTGAATCGTCCGAAATTCGAACTCGACCACACATGTAAGTCATTATACATAATACGAAGTTGATCGAGACCTTACGCCACCGAATGTGACGCTAATTCGCAAAACAACCGGTCGAATTGTTACACAAACAAGAAAATAAATAAAGATAAGAAAATAATTACACAAATATTCACAAGTTTGGACCAAAGCACGTACGCCTATTTCTCAAACAACTTAAATACGCCACACTGTTCCCCGGCAACGACGCCAATTTTGATGACGTCCTAATCCACTACTAAAAAGTAAATGGACATGGTCGAATACAATATAATATACCCAACTATGAGCCAGGGTCGAATCCCACAGAGAATAATATGTAGGCGATTAGGCAATGTAAGAGAATTATCACTTGTTATGCTAAGCCAAACACTTCAAAGGATTTTGGAAAACTATTTATGTCTAAATGAAAAAATATAAACTAACCTAGAAAGCAAGTAAAATGATCAATGGCTACAAGCATGGATACACGGAGAATTACACTCAAGTAACTATCCAATGTATTTCACGATTTTACAAATATGAGCGAGATTATGTTAATTAGCCTCGGATATTAATTCGATATTAGCTTCTTCCGAAAACTAACAAGACTTCCTAATTGAATTATCCCTAAAACAATTAAGAGATTAAGAGCACATGATGTGGCTACAAGTAGTTCAATCCTATCCCTAGGTAGAATCTATAAAGTGAGGGTTAACGCCTCAAGTTCTTGTTAATTAATCTTTCCCAACCCCCAAATTATCTTTTCCAAAATTAATTCGAAGTTAATGGGCGAGTCCTAGGGTTAGCTAATCCTTTTGGAAACATTAAAGAACAAGAATAATTAAAGAAACAATAACTCACTTCAAAATAAATAAAAATCGTTCAATACATAAGCACAACAAGATACTTAATCCACACTTTAAATATGAATATTCCCATAAGTAAGATCCAAGTGTTAGAAAAATACTACACACTTAGATGAAGAAATGAACATAAATGGGTAAGAAATTCTCAATCAAAAGCTTCAAATCTTCAAGACCTAAGTGTGTGTGCAAGAACCCTAGCTCCTAAACTTGTATTCTCTTGTCAAGAGACTGAAAAATAAGCCAAAGATATGCCAAAGATGACCTAGGTCATGTATTAAAGGGTTTGGGGCATAAAAATGTAAAATTACATAAGTGCCCAGAACTGAAGTGCGATCTTCGCATTTGCAAAGGGATTTTCGCATTTGCGAATCTTGACTTTTTTGTTGAATATCGCATTTGCGATAAAGGGCTTCGCATTTGCGAAAGTTGACTGTCGGGTTTGACTTCGCATTTGCGGCCCTACTTTTGCATTTGCGAACTCTATTGGACCTAGTTGACTTCGCAATTCCGATTCACATGTTCGAGTTTGGGGACGTTGACTGGCATGGTTGACTTCACAAGTGCGAGCTCCTACTCGCATTTGCGACACCTGAGGTCACTTTCCAGATTTCTGCTTTTGAGCCCCTTTTTGACTTGTATTCGCTTGGTTTCTTCCCGATCACTTCTAAATTACATAAAACCTATAAAATAGAAGTAAACGGCATTAAACACACTATTTTAGCAATCAAACATAGAAAAACTCTAAGATTAAAGATGAGATAAGTTGGTTAAATACCGACTTATCACTGCTTCAACTACTCTTTTCATTTGCGGTCTGTAGGCTGTAGAGTTGCGGTGTACAATTTTGAACTTCTCTCAAATTTTCCTCATGAGATCACTATTTAGATTAGTTGCATTGTCAATGATGATTGACTCGGGTATCCCAAATTGGCAGACGATGTTGTTATGGACAAAATCTGCGACTACTTTCTTCGTGATGTAGGAGCTTCGACCTATTTGGTGTAATAATCAATGGCTACCAAGATGAAACGGTGCACATTTGATGTAGCTGGCTGTGTAAGTCCAATCACGTCCATGCCCCAAGTGGCAAACGGCCAAGGCGAACCCATTACATTCAACTCATTAGGCGGGACTAGGATGAAATCCCCGTGGTTCTAGCCCTGGTGACACTACTGTACATAGCAGATACTATCACTTTCCATGGTCATCCAAAAGTATCAGCCTCTTAAGATATTTTTGGCTAAGGTGAAGCCGTTCATGTGGGGTCCGCATGTTCTTGCATGTATTTCTTCAAACAATCTTGGTGCTACAGTGGAATCTACACATCTTAACAGACCCAAGTCTGGGGTCCTCCTATACAGGAATTCCACGTTCAGGTAAAAGTGATTTTCCAGCCTTCTGAGCACTACCTTCTAACTATTAGTAGCATTCCTTGGATACTCTCCTGATCCAAGGAACCGTTTGATGTCATGGTACCACGGTTTACAATCCGGCTCTTCGTCTATATGAAAATAGTACGCATGTTGATCTCTGATCTCTATCTCGATAGGGTCGATGTATTTCTTATCTAGATGCTGAATCATGGATGATAAGGTTGCAAGAGCATCATCAAACTCGTTCTGGATCCTGGGAATGTGCTTGAACTCAATCTTTATGAACTTCTTGCATAACTCTTTTACACAGTGCAGGTATGGAAGGATCTTGATGTTCTTGGTAGTCCATTCTCCTTGAACTTGTTGTATCAATAGATCAGAATCCCCTATGACCAAAAGCTCCTTGATGTTCATGTCGACCGCCATCCTGATCCCGAGGATGCATGCTTCGTACTCGGCCATATTATTGGTGCAAGGGAACCTTATCTTTGCTGATGCTGGGTAGTGTTGTCCTGATTCTGAAATTAGGACTACCCCAATTCTACTCCTTTAAAATTTGCTGCTCTGTCGAAGAACATTCTCCACCCTGGGTATGATTCTACGATATCTTATCCGGCGAATAACACCTCCTCATCTAGGAAGTACGTAGTGAGCGGCTCATAATCCCTGTCCACTGGATTCTATACAGGGTGATCGTCTAAATCTTGTCCTTTGATGGCCTTATGCGTTATGTCCACAATGTCATATTCGCTGAGAAGAGTTTTCCATTTGGCTAGTTTTTCTGTAAGCATCAGCTTCTGAAAGATATATTTGAGTGGGTCGAGCTGGGATATTAAATATGTGGTGTATGCCGACATGTAATGCCTTAGTTTCTAGGCGATCCAAGTCAAGTCACAACAAATACGCTCTATCAAAGTGTATTTGGCCTCACATGGTGTGAAATTCTTGCTTAAGTAATAGATGTCCTGCTCCTTTCTTCTAGTCTCATCATGTTGTGCCAACACGCATCCAAATGCATTATCCAAAACTGACAGGTATAACAACAGTGGCTTCCCGGGCTTGGGAGGAACCAACACTGGTGGATTTGACAAATACTCCTAAATTCTGTTGAAAGCTTTTTGACACTCTTCTGTCCTTTTTGTGGCAGCATCCTTCTTCAGCGGCTTGAAGATAGGTTCACAAATTACCGTAGAATGGGCTATGAAACGGCTGATGTAATTCAGCCTACCCAGGAAATTCATCACATCCTTCTTGTACTTGGGCGGTGGCAACTCTTGAATGGCTTTGATCTTTGAAGGATCCAGTTCGATCCCTTTTCTACTTACGATGAAACCTAGCAATTTACCAGCAAGGACTCCGAATGCACATTTTGCAGGGTTCAACTTCAAACTATACCTCCGCAAACATTCGAAAAACTTTCTCATGTCATCCAAATGTTCTGAACTCTTTCGAGACTTGACGATGACGTCACCCACATATACCTTGATCTCTTTATGAATCATGTTGTGAAAAAGATCATGGCCCTCCTGTAAGTGGCGCCGGTATTTTTGAGGCCGAACGGCATGACTCTGTAGCAGTAAACTCCCCAAGGTGTAGTGAACGCTATCTTTTCTGCATCCTCTTCGTGCATCGGGATCTGGTAGTACCCGGTGAAACAGTCCACAAATGACTGTTGTTCGTGCTTCGCATAGTTGTTGATGAGGATATCGGTAGGAAATTGAGGCGAAATATGTCGGTGCTTAACCTAGGCATGTCATCATACGACCAGCAAACACATCGATGTATTGTCGGAGGAGCACTACCAACTCTTCTTTCTGCTCTGCTTTTAGAAGGATGCTGAGTTCGGGTTTCTTTTATGTCTTCTTAGCTTTCTAAGATGACCACTTCTGTCTCCTCAATTTTTGGCTTTTTCTTGCATTCCAGTTGTTCGATCTCTTATGGAAAATTATCTGGCATCATGCTTTCGTCGTATTCCTCATAATTTGGATCGCTTTGCTCAAGGGTTTCGTTACATGTCATAAACGCGGAATGCTGGTTTTTATCGTTTTGATTATCTAAAATAAAAACTAAGTATAAATAAAGCAATAAATAAATTTGCAATAAATTTAAGCAAATATTTCTTTCATTTCATCAAAAGAGGAACGTCTGAGCGTTCAAAGAGGCAAATGACAAAAAAGTACTGACACAGTTCAAGCCTCAATTAACCGTGCACTCTTTTCAAAATATTTATAATTCCACACTACCAAGACTCTCGGCGAACAAAAGACGGGTTGGCGGTCTAATTCTGCAGGTCCTCTCCTAGTTCGGCATTCCGAATGGTCGGTGTCTTGATATCAATTTTGTCACAGCATTCCTCAATCATGGTCACGAACAGCCTTCCCATTCCATCGACGATGTCATCCTCTGGCGTTGAGCTCTAACCCATACCCGAAACACACTCTGGCACAAAAGCTATTTTCCCGAAGCTACCGGTACAAGTCTTCCTAGTTGGAGGATGATACCATATGCCGGCTCTGCCTTTCTGCCCATTTGGCTCAATCGACTCAGTTATCCCGTCTGATTGGGCTCCCAGCCCGGTTCCTGGTCTGTATCTGTACTTTATCATTTCTCTCATGGCCATCTTTGATTTATACGGTGACTGTATTTCCATATTTTGTCTGGTCTCTTCTATTTCCATGGTCTGCATGATCTCAACTTCATGAAAAGAGACCCCGTCTAATCCTTCTATGAATGCAACTTCATGTTCTAGATAAGCTGATTGGCTCTATTCGCCGTGGATTATGATCTCTTGTCAGCCCCATTCAAACATCATGCACTGGTGTAGGGTAGATGGGACTACCCCTGCCATGTGTATCCAAGGTCTTCCAAGCAATATGTTGTATGAAGATGATATATCCATCACTTGGAATAGTATGGGAAACTCGACTGGTCCAATTTGTAGAGCCAAATAAATTTCTCCAATAACGCCCTTCTGCGACCCGTCAAAAGAACTTACTGTCACATGACTTTCCTTTACTTCTGTTAGATGGATGCCCAACTCTCATAGAGTAAAGTGTGGGTAGATATTGACTCCTGATCCTCCATCAATCAGTACTCGGGACACCACCTTTTCTCCAAATTTAACAGTGATATGTAAAGCTTTGTTGTGACCCACGCCCTCTATAGGAAGTTCATCTCTTCGAAAAGTGATCATATTTTCTTCGACCATTTTCCCAATGGTTGCTTCCAGTGCCTCACTGATGTTGTTGGTGGGCGTGCTCACCCCACTTAACACTCTCATCAGGGCGTCTTTATGACTTTCAGAACTCATCAGTAAATCCATGATCGATATCTGCGCCGGGGTTTTCTTCAATCGTTCCTCTACGGAGTATTCTTTGGTTGACATCTTCTTCCAAAATTTTGCAACCTTTGGATCTGTTATATTCCTTTTCCGAATATGATCCCTTCCTAGATTCCCTCGGTTTACATCCTCAGGAGCGTAACACCTCCCCGACCTGGTCAAATCATGAGCCTAATTCGTCCTCTTATCCTTCCCTTTTTGTTGGTTGATATGTGGCTATAATTCCATAGTTTCGTACATTATGTGCCTTGCATTTTACATGCTTTAATGATAAATTACACTTTATTTGTGCATAATGGAGTCTATTTTATGTGTAGGTGAATTGGAGATGAAAGTAGAGCAAAAGGGATACTTAAACGTTGAAAGTGTGCTCGAGAACAGTGAAAAGGAGAGACCAGGCTTTAGCCTGGTGAGGCCAGCCTAAGACCAGGCTTTAGCCTGGTGAGGCCAGCCTAAGGCCAGGCTGGACCAGGCTTTAGCCTAGCGAGGCCAGCCAAAGGCCAGGCTGGACCAGGCTTTAGCCTGGCGAGGCCAGCCTAAGGCCAGGCTGAACCAGGCTTTAGCCTGACGAGGCCAGCCAAATTCCAAGCATTAGGCTGGCGACACCAGGCCTAACACCAGGTCCAATCTGAGTTTTGAAGACTTAATTCGTTCCGGGTTTGACTAGGACCCAGCCCACACGTTTAGAGTTTCTTCTACACATATAAATAGACCTAAAACACCACTTGGAAGGGGGTTGTTTTCAGCAGCCAAAAGGTTCTATCAGCAGCCACGTTTTTGGGCAGCTAGAGGCAAGGAGAGCTGGTGGAATCACCTCTTGGGAGTTAGAATCATCTATTTCTATATCTTTTCATCTTTACTCTGTATTTTAATTATGCAAAATATTTGGTATATTGTTACTATGAGTATGAGTAGCTAACTTCCTAATCTAGGGTTTTGATGGAACCTATTGAAGGATGATTTTCTTGTTATGTTAATATAGATTTGCCGTAGTATTTTCTCTATTTGTTCAACTATATTATTCTTGTGGTTGATTGAAGGGCTCTCAATTAGCTGTGCCTATTTTGTATGTATTACTCAGGAGAGAGTGCATATTTAGGTAGTTGTTGAACAACATCACTCCTAAACGTATATGAGGGATCAATACGGAGGTTTAAAGGTGGGTTTAGGGATAACGAAACCTTGGTGCGATATGAGTGAGCTGTTCTTAATGCTAGCTAGCGTAATTTGGGAGAATATGTCTAGTAAATTGTGGTAATTACTCGGGAGAGAGTTACGACAGTTAGAGTGCTCATGGTCGATAGAGAAGACTTAGGCAAATTTGTAGAAAACGTAGCGAAAAAGATTCCGACAATAGGGGAAATCACAACTCTAGACCTCCTTAGTCTTGTATAGAATTTCATCCATATAAGTTGATAATTTTACTGCTTTATAATATTTGCGAGTTAATTAGTAGAAATAAAAAATAAAATCTTTATAACTAGAAAATTATTTGAACTTGTGTTTCTTTGCAATATTGAACAACTGTAGCTAAGCCTTAGTTCTCTGTGGGATTCGACTCCGAACTTGTAAACCGGATTATATTTGCAACGACCTCTTAGTCCTTTTTATAAGGCATAGTTGGGCGTGATCAAATTTTGGCACCGTTGCCGGAAAACTAACGGTTTAGTTGTAGGTGTTTATATTGCAAAGAAATACATTGCTAGGTTGATAAAGAAACACTTATAGTTGTAGGTGTACATATTGCTAGGTTGCAAGTTTGAACTTTAATTTTGTTTTCTTGTATTTGATTTTTTTTATTTTTGTTTTACTTGTTAATTTTAGAAACATGGCATCTTGG